TTTAGGGAAGTTTAGGGGTTTAGGGTTTAGGGAAGTTTGATGAGTGTGACCACGATTGGGGCCATGGCTGCCTCGATTTGGGTAGTTCTCTAAATTGGGGTCCCTTTCTAGGTCCCCAAGATAGTACGGCACCCTTCTAAAAAGGACCCTAAGAGGGGCCCTAACTTAAAGAACCCTAAACCCTAAACCCTAAACCCCTAAATCCCCAAACCCCTAAACACTAAACCCCTAAACCCCTAAACCCCTAAACCCCTAAACCCTAAACCCCATTTGAAAGCTGGGGCCACCTGAGGTTCAGAGATACCGTGCGAGGCTTCATCAAGGGAGATCCTGGAATGAAGGCCAAGGGTTTAGGGTTTAAGGTTTAGGGTTTAGGGTTTGGGGTTTAGGGTTTAGGGTTTAGGGTTCAGGGTTTAGTTTAGGGTTTGGGGTTTAGGGTTTAGGGTTCTACATTGGGTTCAAAAACAGGGGGCCTTGAGGCTTCGAGTTGGGCTTCTTTAAAGGACTCCGGTTTAGGGTTCTGCCTATTCAAGGATTCCGGTGCCTAGGGGTTTTTTTTTACAGGTTTCTGAGAAGGGTTATTTAACAACTTTAGCTGGGGCTTCAAGTAGGTATGAGCAAGCAACAACAGGATTGACACATCTATAGTTGGAGTATCTACTTGACAAACCGCTTCTGACTTCTTCACGTCCCGGATCCTTCAAGTGGGTTCGAGATTTGGTTCTCTTTCAAGGCCTGCAAACTCAGTCCTTCCAAGTCCTGAGAAAGCCATTTTACCCCTCGTCATATCCTAAAAGTTTGGATTGTAATAACCTGCCTTACATAGCGTCTCTTCATACAGGGGTTGTGCACCCTATTATGACCCTATCCACCAGCATCCTGATTATTCGAAAAACTCCTAAAGAAGGTACCCCAACACAAAAGCTAATAACATCTATTCGCGGCACTAGCACTATGGCCTTTGCAGACGAAGCGTTCTTGATCGACGGTCTGCGATAGAGTTTGTTAGGCTCCGGGCTCTTAGGCAAGGGCACATCGACTTTGGTTGGCTCGGTCGTGCACCCTAAACCCTAAACCCCAAACCCTAAACCCACTTCTACCAGCCGCTTGGGATTGGTATGGTCTTTCCCAACACCCGACAACCCTAAATTGCTAGTAGCAACACCAACGTAAGTTTGAGGCGACCGAAACGCTGAATGCAACCCGAAAGCTTCAAAACGCCTAAAACCTGGAAGCCCCAGGCCCTACTGCCAAACATGTTAAAAGCAGTAAACCCTGAAGCAGCCTATCCCCACTAGCCCCGAACCAGCGCAGGGCCAGTTTGCCACGCGACTTTGTGGCAGCCCAGATCTCTACGAGGAAA